TGTGTGTTTCGGTCCTTCGTTAAGCTGGGCCGGCTGTACGCTAACCGGGGTGCTGGGCTCGGCTGGCCGAAGGGCTTGCGGGCCCGTGCCGTTACTGCCAGCAGCCGGTGGGCCCTGCAGGTGCTGCCCTTTCGTTAGAGGAGTTGGAAGTTCTAGTTCACCCTCGGTCGCTGCAACTGCTAAGGCCTTTCAGAGCTTGTGCAGGCATGCATAGTGTATACGTTAGACTTATTTAAAAACAAACCAGGATTGCAGGTGCACTTGAAGCCTGAACTGTCTTATAAATGTTAATACAGGAGACCTAGATCTTTTGATGAAAACGTGTGCAGCACATAAGAACAAAAAATGGTGTTGTGTCACCTCTAGTGTAATTGTCGCAAGTCACAGTTCTCTGCTCTTGGAAACGGGCTGAGCCTGTGCTTCAGTGACTCTTTTGCTTTAATGACAGCTACAAAATGTTCAGTCTATTGAAAGTAATGGAATCAAAGACTTTTTCTTATGAAAGAAGATGGTGGGAATGTACTCTTCAGATGCACTTTGTTCTGTTTAAATCTACTGCAAAAATGTTTGTTACAGAAACGTAGACAATACAGTTACTTCGTTGTTTAAAAGAAACATTGTACTGAAAAAATTATGATTTGAGTAGGACTGATTAGTTTTTTTTTTTTAAGTAATTCTTTAAGATGGATAATGCTAAGTACTTCCTTGCAAATAAACACTTCTTATTCTCATAGCAAAATGTGTAAAATCTTCTCCTCCCCCAAATTCTTAACATCCTAAGTATATATTTTGCAAGTCTCATCTCTTCAAAACTGTAAATTTCCCAAAGTTGTCAGAAATCTAGGAAATGTTGACTATGCCCATAGAAGATTAAATAAAGGGTGTTCTAATGCATGCGTGTTATGAAATCTGTGCACAAAATAAAAGCTTGTGCTGATTACTTGTAAGATACCGCTGATTTAAAGTGTTTGTATCATAAATGTGCCTTTAAGTTTTATTTGTCTGACACTTAATAGTTCTACCAGTCTCAGCTGCTTACAGGTTGTCTTCTAGTAACTTTTTTTTCTTTTCTCCTCTGTATTCAGAACTAGGTACATACAGGTAACTGCTTTTATGATAACTTGACTTCTGCAGCCAAAATTATTTTATTTTTATAGCCACTTCTGATAACTCGGTGATCCTTTCTTCATGCGTCAGTAGTTGTTTGTTTTGCTCTTCTAAGCACTTTTATACAGGTGAGCAATTGTGAAGACCATTTGAGAATAAAGGAGGAAAGTAGTCCTTGAACTTCTGTTTCTGGATTCCTTTTTTTGGAGTTACTTGCTCGGATAAGAGGCTGCAGTTTTTTCTATGAAATGCTAAATAGGCAGGTCTAATAATTGCCCTGTTGCACTTTAGTGGCCATCAAGAATACCCTCATAGTGTTCTCAATACTAGCATGTGTGAGTGTGTGTGTATATACATATGTGTATGTACACGCTCTTGTCTGTGTACATGTGGGTGTTAAAATTATCCTGTCCTTCAAGTGGTCTTCTCAGGCTGGCAAAAGTAACGTTTTTCCATGTTCTCTGAAAGCTCTTGTTATTACTTCTCTGAAGGGCTTCCCAAATGGGGAATTCATCCTGCTGTCAGTGTTTGTCATGTGAAAAATGAATCCTTTTCATTTCTGTTAGACAGAAGTCTGAATTAATAAGCATTTTTCTTTGAAACGTGCTGGGGTTTAATGTATTGCTTACCCATAAAAATGGTGGGATTATGTTCTGTGATACTTGAGCATGGGACTAGTTGCCCGAGATGTGGGTTTTGCTCTTGATTCCACTATGGTTGCTTAAAAATTGAGCAAAGTGTTGCATCTCTAATTGCAGGAGGGGAGTAACAATATTGACTTTCACTGTAGTATCTTGATATCTGCTGATGAAAAGTGTATATGAATTAGTTTTACTAGTGATTATTTGTGAGCCAGTACTAACAGACTTGAGTGTCTGAGGAAATGGGTTTTTTTTGCATTTTTATGAGGTAATGAAGTCTTAAATTCTTGTAGAGCCTCCACAGTTATACAGGACTCTGTATTTTAGTCCAAAATAGGATTGATGCAGACTTATTTTCAAGGCTGTTCTCAGATAAATACCAAGACATATGCACTGTTTATTACATAATTCATTATTTTAAGGGACCAAAATGATTGTATTTCCTTTGATCCCAGGAAGTGGGTATTTTTAAACTTAGGTCAAAGCATCCCAGAACTTAATGTACCATGTGAATTAAGTTTACAGAATGATTCATGAATTGTTAGCTTTTGGAAGAAAGAGGATTTGAGATCAAAATTTGTTAAGAAAGGAACTAACTGTTTCCATAGCCCTTTCTTTTTGTGAGACATGATCTCCATAATTTCTGCATTACAATGTTTTTAGACTATTACAAAGGTAACTTAGTTTCTGTCTTGGGTTTTTTTGGAGGGCTTTTGAGTTGTGAATCAAAAGTACTGTAGACTGTTCAGAACAATAGGGAGCTTAAGAAAAGTACAGCTAGAAAGTTTATGTAAGTATAGGGTTATGTTAGCTGTTTTTAATCATACTGGCAGTAGCTTTCTTTACCTGTGAGTGGCAAAACCAGTAGGTAAACAACTTTCTTGAACTAAAAAGCTTTATGATATCACTTTCAATGTAAAAGAAGCTATAAATAAAGTGCATTTTATAATGCTGGAGAAGCCATAAAGAAAATGAAACTTCATGCCGCAACAGAAATGTCACAGAATTTTCTGTTGTGCTGTAATGTCTTCTGAGACTTGTGTTTCAACTCTGTTAAATTGCCATCTAAGTCACTGAGAGCGACTTATTTATTATGAGAAATCAAAATTCCCTATTTATATTCAGTGATCTCTATCTGTACTCTCCAGTGTGTCTAAGTTTAAATAAATTTGAGTGAGTTTCAAACCAAAGAACACAAATTGACCCAAGAAAAGATTGTTGTTTATTTTTTTTAGGATTAATAATACTTCTAGAATTCAACTTCATGAGTTTCTTAAAACCCAGAGCGGGACCCAGAGTGCCCAAAATATAAGTAAGAGTGATAAGAAGTGATCCTGTTTGACCTCATGGATACTTGGGAAAGTAAGTCCATACTTGTTTAATATTCTATTCAAGAAAAACTTTGAAAGAAAATGGGTGAAAATATCACTTCATGTAGTCAAGCAGATACTTGCACTTTTACCAGCATTAACAGTTTGTAGTTGTCCCACAAAAGGCATTTTCAGTTTGGGGTAATAGTTTAAAAATTGACATTCCTGCAGTGTAAACAATGAAGGATTAAGGAATTACTCCCAGATAAGTAAGTGTTGCAAGAATGCATCATAATACTGCCTCTGTACCATAAGTGTTTAACAGGGATTTTGAGGCATTACGTTTTTGGCACAGTACAGATTCTTTAAACCATTCCTCAAGTCTTACTGCCTTGTCTCATGAAATTCTCGTTTCTAGTTGTCAAGTGCTCGTGAATGGCTGCTGTTAAATAACTTCTGGGTGACCAAGTTCAGAAAGAGTGAGGACTTCAACAGTTATTTCTGCTTACTGTAGTGCTATGATTATATGATATGCATATATAACATATGTTAAACAGCATTTAAATGTTAATTCTTTGTAGTGCAATCAAAGTTTTGAAAAACCTGGTTGGTACATAAAGACTTATTTTGCACATTCCTTCCCCTAAGCTCCAAGTGTTCCCTTAACTATCGGGGGGAAACATCCACCTTAATCATCCTTTCTGTTGCTTGAAGTTGTTTTATATTTGTATGTATACATGTGTGCCTATATGTATGGATGGATGATTTGGTGTGTGAACTGCATGAAGAAGTGTATCATTATATACATGTTCAGTCACGAGGAGGTTGTTTTTGGCAGCAGGTTGTATTGACCCCAAAGTAGCCCATATGCCTGAGCCAAAAATAGACAAGGCTCTATTTTTACCATTTATTGTGTACGTTTCTGGAAATCCCTTTAGTGCAAATGATTTTTAAATCTATAAAAGCAATACTATCCTATTATCTCATTTGAGAATAATAAAAATAATTACTTTCCTTTCATGATCTCTAAAGACTGGAGAGTTCTCAAGAAAATAACTTTACATTTAGGAAGGACTGATGCAAAAAGTGATACTACATATTTACATAGTACTGCTTTTATGGTATTATAAGTGTGTTGTAGCTCTGCAGAAAACTATCTCGATCAGGGGGAAAGTAGGATTTAATTTTTTTTTTTCTTTATGACTTCCATATTAAAAACCTTTTCTAGCTGCAGGTAAGCTTACCATACTTTGGGAGCCAAATTTTCAGTGGAGCAGCAGAGCTGTGTGACACACTACATAAGGTCATCCAAAGGCACTATCTATTGACTTTTAAAAAGCAAAAAAATACCTTGGTAGAGTAAAACTGGTAAAAGAAGATTATATGATTGGTTTATTCCCTATTTTCCTTTTTTTTAAAAGGAGGACTCTTGTAGATATGCCCTTAGACTGTGCAGTATCTGGTTCCAGTTTTCCTTTGGTACAACTAGCATTAATTATTGTGACTGCTCTGAAGACTGTCTACAAGCAACTGCAAGATGAAAGGAGCAAGAGTGATGAAGATCTTGCCCTAAAACTTTCTTGAACACAGGTGATAGGTTTACATTCCTGAACTAAAAATACTCTTGAATGACATTATTATGTTGCAAACTGGTATCTTAGGTTCTTGCAAACGGTGTAGTAAATACTGAATTCTACAACGTGCAAGAGAGGCCTGCACTAATTAGTGCAAGTAGCTGGGTTTTGTTCTTGCTTTGTCTTTAAATTCTGAGCAGTAACGTATAGAGTATCTGTTCTTCATGTCATGGGAGGACTTTTTTTGTTTTAGTCTTAATTTTGATTATGACCCTCCTCGCTTTTCTGTGTATATCTGTTTTGAGACACTTGCTGCAATAGTAATGATTTGCAATTTCTGTTTTTTACCTGTGGAACTTATGATGCTAAGTTAACTAAAGAGAGTGCAAGGGAGCTTTTCTTGCACCTTTGTGTGAGTTAAAATGAGCATGAATTACATGATTCACCTGTCTATAAGAACAGTGAATCATACATCAGTGAGTGAATGAAATTGAACAGGTGCAAACTTAGATATAACATTGGCAAATTGGCTTCATATCGCGGTTATATGATGCTTCCCTGCTCTCACTGTATGATGGCAGTAAAATGAAATACCAAATGTATTTTGTCATTGTCTAATCTTACTTTTTAAGTGAAATAAGAGCTTTCATAGAACATAATTTTTAAAGTAAGTTTCCTCTAAAATCTAATGAGGAATATTAAATGCATATCACTCATGCTCACAGGTTACTTTTGTTTGAAGACATAGGGCAGTGATAAATAAGTACCCACTGCTAGTAAATTCATACTATGGTCTAGCTTTGCCCTATGAGAGCATGATGAATAAATGTAATGCAGGTGCAAAGAGAATTGGTATGATTCTTTTGAGTGTGAATGGATGATCTCCTACAGAAACCAACAGGAGTATCTACGTGTAACGCTAATGAGACAGAGTGAACTGATGTGTCCAGTTCTTGCCTGTACCTGCGCTCTAAAATTGGAAAGCGTTCAGCTGATGTCTTGGAAACATGTCTGTGAAAACCTTAAATGGTTCTATCTAGTTATGCAGGAATTTTAACAGATGACCTAGTCATGGACAGGTGCCTGCAGGTGGACTTATTCTTATTTCAAGAATAAATCACTTTGTCTTAAAATAGCTGCTGGCTTGCCCGTGTCGGTAATTAACTGAGCATTATTATGGTACAGTACCCTTCTGAAGAATATTTTGGTTAGTTCTACTTTAATTGGATTGCGGAGCTACCAATTTCACTCTGTATACAAATAAAATAAAACCTTTTTGTCTATAGGAATATAATCTGAAGATTAATATGATTTTGTAGATAGTGGTATTGGGGATTTGCATGAATAAGTAAGATCATTCTTTTCTAAGCGTTGCTCATCAGTAAAACATTGCATTACGGTCAGAGGTGATCGCCTCTCTGACAAGGCGTGTAATGCCAAGATTTTCACGTGGGTCTTGCTTGTGTAAATCTATGCAAGAAAATTGGGGTGCCCTGGTACTAATCCCGGCAAGGTTGCTGCAGGCTCAGTGCAATTCCTGCTACAGTCTTGTCTACTCGTGAACTGGTATTCCCTGGCAACTTCATTGGGACCTCTTCCATGAGAGATGTTTGAGAGCTTGACTGGCTAAAAGTTAAGGAGGGATTCTCTTCTGTCAAGCACTGTTGCATCTGTTTAAAATTCATTTTACTTAACGCTTTCTTCAGATGTTTTCAAAATAACAGGAAGCAGAAGGTGTTTTGGAAAGAAGAAACTGAGGTGGAGAAGTTGTTGCAACAAGTGTGCGCTGTAGCTTGTTTACTTGCATTTTTTTTAAGAACAGATGGGTATCGAAAATCATTATGTGCTGCTTTTGGGGCTATATTTTGTGTATTTGATCTGTTTGCCATTGCATTTAAAGCAATATGGTGTTCTTCCCTTGATCCCAGTTTGTTTTTTACTGCTTGTCCACTACACTGACACCTAAGGACAGATGTAGAAGCTCTAATATGTTGTGCAAGGATTGCTAAGGATCCCTTTCCTATCTTTGACCTCCTCTTCCTGGCCCCTCTGCTTTCTCTAACATGTGTTCACAGTCCGTTTGACTCCCGTGTCCTAGGGGGTCTGAATTCATCTGCAAGTACTAAGATGCCTTAATCAAAAGAATGTAATTACTTTCTCCTCAATAAGGTATGAAGTGCCCATCTTCTTACTTAAGTGTGCTCACCCTAATCCATTCCCCCAGTCTGGGCTAGTGCTAGTGCTGACCACTTGTATTTTAATGTTTTGTCTGGGACTAAGCTGTTCTTCATTTTGCAGCATAAGAGCCCTTAGGGAAATATGGGGGAAGGAGGAAGGCCGCTTGCCAAATATGACAAACTTTCTGCACGTTCTAGGCACAGGATAATTGTGCGATGCTTGACTTAGATGTGGCACCTGAGGACAAGAATCCACAAAGATACAGGAATAACAAATGGTCATTGCTTAAAAACTGCTGTAATAGTTTGTACACCACCCTCAACCTAGGTAACGACAATCCGTATCACTTCAGGGCCAAAAGCTCTTCCTCACTGTAGCAGAGAGAAGTTCAATCAAGGATATCCTGCTGTTGATGCTGTACACAGTGCATAAGCCCCACACATTAAAGACAGTGACCTGTGTTGGGTTAGTAAGGAAGCCTGCTGCCCTGTAAAATGAAGAGGATGTTGCCAAATACATATCCCAACTGCTGAGCTTTCAGTCTTCCCAGTAGAGTGGAAACATCCACTAAGGACTTGAACAGTGCAGGAATACTCAGAATAACAAAGTTAATCTTTCCATTTGTTGACTACCTCACTGTTCCTTTGGTTTTTGTTTGCTTGCTTTGATGTTTGATTTCTGATCTACTTCTGACTTTCTTCAGCTCTCAAGCATTGAATCGTTTAGTAGTTTTGTTTGCTGAGTGAAAGAACTGCCCTGCCAAAGCTGTCTTTGGGTAGCTGTGATCATATCACTTCTGTCAACCTTCTTAGTCCTTATTTCCCTCATCAAGTATAAGAGCGTGTGAAACGTCTTCCCCCTGCTTTTAAAAAAACAATTGTGAAAAGAGATGAAGTCTAGCTTCCCCGTTGTGGTGTACTTTGTGACACAGTGGTAACTTACAGAACATGTTTAGCAATTCTGATGATCTGATTTAGGATGCTGTGTGGAAGTTTCTGACAATTTTCACACCTGACTAGCATTATCCCTTGAGTTAGGAAGCTGACTGTCTTATTTTATAGCTCAGTAGAGATCCTGTTTTTGAAGATAGTGAACCCTGGTTTTAGGTGCCAGTCAGCTGATGTATCTTGAGTTCTTCCTTGTAGGCTATTTATCATGTTCCTGGCTGTTGATGTTGTTTTAGAAGAGTTCCTGAATTTTCATAGTTTGTTGATTTAAATTGTTCATGTGTCCTATTACAGCGTGTAACATAAGACATAAACAGAAAAAAAATCCAGTAGGAAGTTGTGATACATTAGACATGCTTCCTGCATGCAGGTATGGTTGCTATGTAATGTGATTAGACTTCTGCATTAATGTGAGACAAATAGCAATAAAAGTCTGTAGAGTGTTGAGCACTTGATTGGGATCCAGTCCTGGAATTGTAAGGTGTTGCCTGCTAAAGAGGAGGAGTGTATATTTGGTTTATTGAAAAAATTGCTGAAGTGCTTTTCTTTAGATCTTGTTTTGAAATGTATATATTTCTCTAGCACGTCTTGCAACCACGCTTCCCAGTGTATGAAGAAAGTTTGAGAACTTACGGATTTGGGCTTAGGTTAGACTTTAAATAGCAAATCATTCTAGCAAGGAAATTACTGCAGTGTCAGAAAGATCTGTAAATGAGCTTCAAAAGAATATGCAGTGAAACTTGAATTGCTGAGATCATGGTTTATTTAAAAAAAAAAAAAAAAACAGAGAGGGGGGGGCACTATGGAAAAATTAGGTACTGACTATTGCAAGTATGTAAACCTGTGAATAGAGACTTAATGATACCATAAAAAGAAGCTCAAAACATTGGAAGTCCCTGGGTAGTTCCCATACTTTTCCTTCAAATACTGCTGCACATACTGACACAAATTGAGGATTCTCTGGAAACCTCAAGACATGCTGGGTAAATAGTGTGGATTGAGTGAAACGTCTCCTTCAATTGGAATTTCCTTGTTTCTTGATGCCAGTGTTGAATGATATTTTTCTTATATACATAATTATTGAGATTATTGTCTAAGGAGGTAATTTTTTTTGTCTAGACTAGAAGTGTCATTGATGTAGTATATTCATTTCTCCTGAAATAAATTTGGCATATCTAGATCTAAATAATACTCTTTTAAAATATTTGTGACTCAAAACATATTTTTTGTGACTCAAAGGATGTTACATATAACTGACGAACAAATTTCGTAATGAAATATGTATTTGCATACTGAAGTACTAGAACAAAAAAAAAAAAAAGTATTCTAAATATATGCAGTAAGCAGTGAATGAGCCTGTGCTTTAAAGAAAAGCCTGGGCTTTTCTTTAACAGGTTTTTCAAACTTCATGAAATACCTTCCCAAAGTCATTCTTGGGTAATTTAACAGAGCAGTTCCCTGTGTCTATCAATGTAGTCAAGATCCAGTAAGGATTCTGAAGCTTTTGACCTGCCTAGCAACTTTAATATCCTTCTGGGAGGATGGGGGTATTGTTCTGCAGTTTTTACCAGGGGGTGAAATTAGGAAGTTTTTTTTGCTTAGACATAGAAACTCCTAGGGAGCCTGTGATGTATTATGAGTAACTGAATTGCGAAGATTGCAGAGGCATAATTTGAATGATAGAAATGTGTGAAATTGAGACCCTACTCTTTGTATTATATCAAGTATTTGTACCAACTATTCTGTTGTAACACACCTTAGATAATTGTGATGAATTAACTTCACCATGTTTAAGCCTTTATTTTTGAAATGAAAAACTGTGTATGCATTCTCAGTGGTAAATCTTTTTTTTTTTTCTTTCAGATTACACTTTACATCAGTAGAAATGGACAGCAGCAGTTTCATTCAGTTTGATGTGCCTGAGTACAGCAACACTGTTTTGAGCCAGTTAAATGAACTCCGCTTGCAAGGAAAGCTATGTGACATAATTGTGCATATTCAGGGTCAGCCATTTCGAGCCCATAAAGCAGTCCTAGCTGCCAGTTCCCCATATTTCCGTGACCATTCAGCATTAAGCACCATGAGTGGCTTGTCAATATCGGTTATTAAAAATCCTAATGTTTTTGAACAGTTGCTTTCATTTTGTTACACTGGAAGGATGTCCTTGCAGCTGAAGGATGTTGTCAGTTTTCTGACTGCAGCCAGCTTTCTGCAGATGCAGTGCGTCATTGATAAATGCACACAAATACTAGAGAGTATTCATTCAAAGATCAGCGTTGGTGATGTTGACTCTGTCACTGTTGGTGCTGAAGAAAATTCAGAAAACCGCAATGGAGTTAAAGACAGCAGCTACTTTGCCAATCCTATTGAGATATCTCCCCCCTATTGCTCTCAGGTGCGACAGTCAACAGCAAGCAGCGATCTTAGGATGGAAACTACTCCAGGCAAAACTCTACGTAGTCGTCTGCAAGAAGAAGGGCATTCAGATCGAGGAAGCAGTGGGAGCATCTCTGAGTATGAGATTCAGATTGAAGGTGATCATGAGCAAGGAGACCTGATAGTAAGGGAGAGTCAAATTGCAGAGGTGAAAGTTAAAATGGAAAAGTCTGACAGGCCCAGTTGCTCTGATAGCTCTTCCCTTGGTGATGATGGATATCATACTGAAATGGTGGATGGAGAGCAAGTGGTGGCAGTAAATGTTGGTTCCTATGGGTCTGTGTTACAGCATGTTTATTCATTTACCCATGCCTCATCCCAGGCTACAGGTGTGTCTGAAACCTTCGGAAGCCTAAGCAATTCAAGTCCTTCAAGGTCTATGCTGAGCTGTTTCAGAGGGGGGCGTGCACGCCAAAAGCGGGTATCCACTGGTCACTTGCATAGTGATGTTCAGGGCTTGATACAAGGGGCTGACAGTGAAACCATGGTGAGTAACCCAGGATATGAAAGTAGTCCCCGGGAAAGAAATGCAAGAGGTCACTGGTATCCATACAATGAAAGGTTAATTTGTATCTACTGTGGAAAGTCTTTCAACCAGAAGGGGAGCCTTGATCGACACATGCGACTGCACATGGGAATAACTCCTTTTGTGTGCAAGTTTTGCGGGAAGAAATATACCCGCAAGGACCAACTCGAGTATCATATTCGTGGCCACACAGATGACAAGCCCTTTCGTTGTGAGATCTGTGGAAAGTGTTTTCCTTTCCAGGGTACGCTAAACCAGCATTTGCGAAAGAATCACCCTGGGGTAACAGAAGTACGAAACAGGGTAGAGTCTCCGGACAGAACAGAGGCATTTGTGGAACAGAAAGTAGATAATGATGCTTCAGCTTCTGAAGTTATGGATTCTAGTATGGAAATTCATGCAATGTCTAACACATCTGATTAAAATACTACATTCTAAGTGCAACTCAAACAAGCACATTAATAATGCGTTTTTTTAATTTTTTATTCTTTTAGTAATCTTCAGTACAACAGCCTTTTAATTTTCCTGACTTTCTGAAATGTTTTCTGGAGAAGACTACATAAATGTTCGTTGTTTGTGATGGAGGCTGTTTTTGGGGTGGGGGTGGGGTGGTTTGTTTTGTTTTTTCTTCTGAAGATGCTCAAAATATAAAAGACAGTGTACTGGGGAAGGAATAGGAAAAGTCTGCTAAAATGTCCCTATTGTTTGATCTGGTAAGACACAATTTCCAGCAGAGAAAGATAATAAAATAAGATCGGCAGCTCTGCTGGATATACCAATAAGCTATAGTCTCCCTTACTTTATTTCCTAAATCCTGTTGCTGGTAATGAGGGTTATGCAGGACTAAGGGGGAGAGAAAGTATTATCCATCTGATTCCTTCCATGCATCACAATGGATTCTGTTCATTTTTACTAACTGTTTCTGGTAGTTAGTCTGTTTATATATATAAAATTGCTTTATATATATAAAATGCTTTCACTTTTCCTATTCTGGTTGAGGTGAATGTAAAAGTATGTCAAGGTTTATACTATGTACCAGTTTTACAACTGCTAGGTCTTCTCTCTGCCTAGGATTTAGGACTCTGGACTTTGGGAGGATGATTTGGTTTTTAGAAGAATGTTTGGTTTTTATTTTATTAAACTATTACGTTGTGTGCAAAAGTGAGCAAAGTGAATTACCTTGTTTTAATAGCTTTGCTTTATAACATATGTAAACCAAATGCCATAAATCTATTAAATTATGGTTAATTGTTTGGGTTTTTGTTAGTTGTCTAGAACACAAGCTAGACAACCTGTGGTGCTGACCTTTTTTTATATATAGAGATAGATATATATCTATATATATATATAAAAAAGATACTATTAGCAAACCCAAAAGTAGCATTGTGGTTTTAAATGTGTTTTTACTGGCCTCAGAATCTACCTTCATTTCGTACTGTAGAAACATACCAGGTAACTAAATTTAACTTCATCACTCTTCGTGGTTGGCTAACACTAACCAGAAAGGGATGTTGTAGTTTAAACTACAGTACTTCCAAGCAGTGTTGTAATGGGTCTCTTCACAGAGAGCTGTTTTCAGGTGCACATTGACTTCCTACTTACAGCTCCAAGTGATATGTCAGCACTTGGAATTTGTACTTTTTTGTATAAAAAACAAATATTCTATGGGAATTGCAAGCAATATGTCTGTTATTTCATGTGTTAGTATTACAAAGAGTTGCTATGGCTTCCCCATTATTTCAGTGGTTGTTTTCTGCATAAGGAAACCACCAACAACTTTAAAAGTACTCTAAATCTTTTTGTTTCACCATTTCTTTTTAATATGGTGCTAACTTCATTATTTAGGTCAGTATAATATTTAAAATGTGAAACCTAATGGTAACAGTGAAAAAAAAGCAAAAAAAAACCAAAAAAAAAAAAACAAACAATAAAACAATAGCTTAAGAGACCTCAAAAGCATGAGCTGGCAAACACTACTGTGTAGAATTCTACCTGATAAGCAGAATTCAGTTAATCACGTACTACTTTAAAATACAGAAGAATTATGCTTTATATAATTGGTCCATATGTTTGTTTAGCAAATAGTGAAAATACATCTGTGAACATGTTTATTTCCTGAAATTTAGAAAGTAAAAGCTCATTCCTAAATTACAGGAAAGCAAAAAGGTAGGTTTGCTATCTTGTAATGCTTTTTGGGCGCCTGTAGCTCAAATTGCTATATGTAGATTTTTTTTTTTTTTTAAACACTTTTCAGGCCCTTTGCCCATGAAGTTGGGGCGTATTTGTGCAGTAGCTTTATAAAATACACTAGTTCTTAATATTGTGACAGTCCGCAATAATGATTAATCTTATTAAATAAAGATTTACAGTATAAATCCAACTTGCTCCATAGGAGCAGTTTCAGTTAAATTGAATGCATAATTTGCCTTTCCTCCTAAAACTGCCTAAGTGAGGGGGGTGGCGGGTGGGAAGGGTGTTCTCTCTTTGAAGTAACAATAGAATTTTGTTTCCAGTAAAGGAAATTATGTCTGTCTAGGGGAGGTAGGATGTCTATATGTTTACCCACTTAAACACGTGTTGGTGTTTCTGATACTGTTTTTTCTGCTATGTTTTTTAAGTAACTAAATGCAAAAAATTGTGTTTTGATAAATTAAGATTGAGACATGCAAAATCAAAGAAATTTAGATTTATTCTTAACCCTTCATCTTGGACCTGTGCTGTGGTGCCTTTGGCGTAACTACTTTCACAGTAGCGTGAGTTGAGGAAAGCAGGATATGGGCTACTAATAATATATTTCTTGAATTTTTCTGTGTCACAATCTTAACATTATTTAAATATAGTTCTTTGTATTTGTAAATTTATTAAACTGGTTTGAGTTTACCAAAGAGTGACTTATCCAAAATTGTCTCTGACAAAAACAAAAAAAATCACTTTGATTGTACAGGTTCAGGTTCAAAACATTGTAACAGGACTGTTAAGGGGCAGGAAACGATCACTTTTTCTACAATATCATGATTCAGCAGTTTGCAAGTTCTGCTTGCGACTATTCATGCTGATATGCCATTTACCTTTTCCACTGCTAGCAGTGTTAAGAATGATCAAGCCATAACACAGTACTGTAAAGTTCAGCAGTGCTTCAAAGGATGCATACATAGGTAAGCATAAAACATCATTGACCGTTATTTTTACACTTACAAAGTGTGCGACTCTGGTAGAAAACGAACTTCAAACCTGGCAACAGCAATTAAATTGTGCCTTGTCACATAATGGTATGCCAGGATTAACATTGTCATGAAACATGAAACATTATCTAATTGAAGTTCATTTCACAAGTCCACCAAGACGAAGTATGCTGTGTTATTTTAAGCAAATTATGGAAGTACTGTACAGTGTCTTGTTTCTGTACAGTTTTAGGTTAGCACAGAGCTGTTACACATTTCATTTACAATAAATGCAGAAGTCAATAAATATGTGAAGAAATATTTGACAACAAAATAAATCATGAAATCATATAGGCTGGTTCATAATTGAGTCTCTTCTTAATCTACCTTTTTAATTATAGACAAATGTGAAAACAGTGACAGTGTCCTTTCCTCTAGATGTTTAACCTATTACAAACTGTGAAAATAAAGAATTTTATATCTTTGCTAATGTTTGTGGTTTTAAACAGTTATTTTAGTTTTCTTAATCAGTTATCTTCCATATCATTTCTATTAAAGTTGTAAATACATTTAGAAAATAGCTATGTAAATATTTAGAGTATATTGGAAGTTCAGTTTGGTCAACACGGCCTAAAGATTGGCTCTGCATTTTAGTGTGAATTCTTTCAATAGCATATAAAGGATACTGTCAATTCACTGTTCAGCAGAATATACTGTAGGCCTAAATTGGTAGTTTTTGATGCAATCTTCCCAAGCATAAATTCATGTTTTATGCTGCAGCCTTTGGTTGACTTTTAGACAAAACAATGAGGCCTCTAATATGTTTAGGCTGAAATATGGGAAGGAACAGCAAGAATAAAATCAAGGGCTGGGAAAAGATTGAATGAGCTTTACCTTCAAAAATATGTATCTTATTTGAATTTTTTTGTATTAGTTTACTGTGATTCTTTTATTGTCATTTTTCTAAATGGGTTTCACATGAAACCATTGAAAGGGACTCAAATATGCAACACCTAATCTATTTTGCAAGGGAATGTTACCCTTGAATGGTGCTTTTAGACTGGTCAGGGTTATTTATTAAATTTTATATTTGAAAGTATTTGGGGAATTGTGTAAATTCTTTATATGAAACTGTTTAGTTCATGAATTGTAAATTTCATAATACTCAGTGATTGAATCGGAAGTTTAGTAAAGTCATTCAAAATGTTCAAAGTTTATAACCTTTGTGCATTTTACATATCTTTTAACAAGTGCCAGAATAGTTGTATTTAATATTGTAGTTTTAATACTACTTGCACATCCCTGTGATAGCGTTAACTTAGTTATGCAAGTTTACATTTAAAAAAAAAATGCTAAACAAGTAAGCCTGGGACATGTGTTCCTGTTTTTCTTCAGGGGATGTGAAGCTAAGTATCAATAACTGAGCAGGTTTGCTTGTAGTTTATATAAGTAACTCCTGCTATGGTAGATACAATAAACTGCTGTTTCTCCAATTTACATATGCTATGAATTCAACCTTTGGACTTGTATTGCAAGTCTCTGGTTGTATATCTGATTAGATATACATCTTGCACAATTTTAGCAGTGTTTTCGTTTCTGACTGAAAAATGGTATTTTTAAATAACTTTTGTTTGTATGATTGCTTTTCATGATAAATATTTGAACAATTTGAATGACTTGACTTGGTGTCATTATCTTGCAATATAAACCGGTAACCTCACAACTCCACACTTCATCACCATGTGAAGTAAATGAAGCTAGCTAAGCTGATGCTGTAACAATTAATAACTTGCCATTAAGGATTATTTTATAGCATGAATTTTAAAGTATTTATTCAAATGATATTTTACTCTTGTATTCATTTTGTTTTTAGTTTTGTGACATGAATATTTCAGTGCTGCTTTATTTTGTTCTGATGAATTTGTTTCTTGCTTGTAAATTGCTTTTTTTATGGTATAAAGTCAATGGGAATTGCTGTTTGTAAATTAAAATGCTTCTAGAGCAAATTTGTGGTGTCAGCGTCTAAATTCAGATATTTAATTAGTAGAGGAGTTGTTTTTATCAGTTCAGGAAAAGCATCTATAAAAAGTTGCAGTTTAATACAGATGCCCATGTACCAGTAGGGAATCAAAAGACCTTTAGAGACAAATGACTCTGAAATTCCTCTTTTTTTGACAGCCGCCTTGTTTAGTTCTGAGCAGGTAATCATTTCAGTGTTGTGCTCGAAAAACTTTTCTGACCCTTAAAGCAAAATGAAAAACTTTCTGGACTGGTGGTAGCAATCTGTCTTAACACCAGTCTAGATGCAAGTCAGTTGGGTTGGGAGGTATATTTTGTTTCCCCAACAGCTTATTGTTTTATGCCATATGTAACAGTAGAACTAATACTGTTCTCACCAAGTATTGGATACCCTTACTAAACCACAAGCTTGAATTTAGCACAAGTTGCTTTCAGCTTTCTGGTGGCAGAGCCTTGTTTCATTGCGGCTGGCTGTTGACAACTCCCTAAGTGCCTTTGTAACAAGCAACTTGTGGTAGTTAAATACATTCTAAATGAAGTAGTATACTATCACTGATTTGCTGAGATAGACTCATCCTTCCTGGGACAACTAGAATCTTGCAGAAAGCATTTCTGCTTAATAATTCATGAAAACACATCTGTTACTATTAAATTTGGTTAAAATTTACTGGCATCATGGCCAGCTTTTCATTGTATGTGAGATGTATGCTAGCAAAGACTTTTTCTTATAATAAAGTTTAAACGAGTTGTAAACTTACGTGGTAGCAAGAGGTGTGTTTATATAGTGTTAATGCAGCTGAAGGATATAGTTCTCTTGACTGGCTCCTCCTTCCTGCCCCTTCCCTCCCTCCTTTTCTTCCATAGACCTTTATTGCCGCCTTCTTCAGAATGAATAACTATCCAAGCAAAACATCTTTTCAAATCCTCTATCTTACATAGTCTAAAAAAACAGTCATGTCTTGTTTATTCCACTCTGCATTACTTGTGAAGAGTGGAATAAACTTAATGTTGCTTTTATCTGAGGAGAGAAGGGGGGCAGAACTTAGCAAGCTTACTAGATTCTACCCACCCACCCCCCTTTTTTTCAGTTGGCAGAATTGTTTCATCTTGTCAGGTACCCCTACAGTTGGAAATAATACATAGTAAGGCTGTATCCAGGAACCCGATGAAGCTAACTTTTAGAGCTGCTCCCTAGTTCCTTCAGAAAACATTTGCTGTTTCCTTCATTATAAACTACTGTCCACAGAACACTAATACAAGCTGTTTACAGTCCTTTAGCTGTTACGTGTGTAGGCTTGTGAGTTAGAAAAAGTGTGGGCTGAAATACTCCCCAACAATGGCATTATAGACATTATAGATTGGTTTACAGCAGGTGGCCTGTGCGCAGGATGCTGGCACAGGTATGACACAACACTGGCTGCCTTGTGGAAATTGCGTTTAATATGTAAGTACGCAGAAAGGGCTACACTGCAGCAATGGTCACAGACCCCAGTATCTCTTAGGTATTTCCATTTGAAGGCAAGGGTAGACAAGCCTCCTCCTTGGTATGGCTGGCTGCTTTCTACTCGCCTTTGGAAACAAAATACAGCATGTTTATTTAGACTGTGGTATGCATGTTCAATTCAAGTTATAGAATTCTAGATCAATTTTCCCTTTGGAGCAGATAATGTTCCTTAGTATGCCAAACTTTTTTTGGAGGGGAAAGGAGGAGGAGGCAGAGAGAAAGTAGGGAAGGCAGGTAGGAACATCTTTCACATAGAACTGGCACGTCTGCTATTTCTAGAAATGTATTATTTTGGTAAGAATGGGATGCAGCGCATCAGAGCAATCTATGTATACCTTGCATAATGTGTTCAGTAGCATCTGGATAGTGTGCCCTATAGCACAAATGGAACCATGATTAAAAATAAGGACCTGTGAACGACTAGAAATAATTTGAATTATTACTGAAATAAAACAATCTTTCCTTTAAATCACCCTCTTCTCTTTTAATTGAAATTTTAAATTGTATTCTTTTGAAAAGCACCAAATTGCAGCACTATCGAAAGGCAGACATGTCAGTATGGGTAGTGATAAACTACTGCTCACCTGTGTGTGAATGTAGTGCAATTTGGTCTAGGTTATTAGAGCAAAGCTTGTACTTTAATGAAAGCTCATGCTCCTTTGACTACTCAGTGCAAACTGAGCTTTCTTCTAGCTACACCAGAACTATGTGTTTGGAAGCCAATAATGCTGAGCAGGCAGAAGATCAAATATGAGATTTCACTTTCTGCCAAACACATCTTAAGCACTGGCTTTTAAAAAAAAAAAAAAAAGGAAGAATAGTATCAGGGAAAATCCCGATGCTCTTTCCCTGCAACACAGAAAGTAACAGAAGGCTTACAAAGACAGTACTGAGCTCTGAAAAAGTGTTTTTATCTCTAACTGTGAATCAGACTCATGTTGAGTAAGATGTGTTCTTACGTAAGTTTGTTTTCCCAAAGGTCTTGTATGGCATAAAACAAAAGACAACAGATGTAGACAGGAGAGGAAAAGAAATAAAGGGGTTGGTCAGAGGGACAAGTTGCAGTCAGCCACACTGGACTTCTGCTGGCATTGAAACAGAGGAGGGTTTTGAAAGATGATATAGAGGCAATTTTGCAAAGCTGATGGAGAATTCATTGGTATGAGGCGGTATCAGAGAAAGTACAAAGGTGCTTGTTTGAAAACATAGTAAGCAGGCAGAGGACAGTGACCCTGGCTAGTTATAAGTGAAATGTGATGATAAGAAAATAGCTACATTGAAGGTGAATGGAAAAGCTCTTAAAAGTGAAGATAAACAATTGTTTTTTGAAAATTGGGGAAAACAGTGAAGGGAGGGATCTGAAAAGAGAGAGCTGACGTGCCGAAGCAACAAGCTTATAAAACTATCTGTATAGGTTTAATAAGTCAAACCTCGTCAAGCTAGTCAAATAAAGCAAGAATGAAGTTGAAATCATGACATTACAATCAAATTGTCATACTGTGTACAACAGTATCTGTCCGTTCAAGGCAAGCATAGTATATCACAAGAGCTCACAGTATATGAATTCCTTAAGATTAATTTATCTCCTTTTGTCCTAGAAGAAAATTCTTCAGAATACAAGGACTGCAGGTTCCACAGTGCTTGGAAATAATATGGCGTAGGTCAATTGTCTATGTAAACTGGCTGGTAGCTTCAGGTAACAGACCCCTTCCTTGCCTGTTACTGACATGTAAAATAGGAAAAATTGTGGTGGTGCCTATCAGACTGTTTTAAGATTTGAAAATATCTCTGAGTTTAATAAAATAATGCAGATACTTTGGAGTTAACACTTTAAAATTATTTGGGGGGGGGGGGGGGGGGTTTTTTTCCAGCTAACATTTTGCTGCATAGGATTCTAACTTCAACTAGTTGTATACAGGGATAGCCCATTGACCTTGGGCAGTTTAGATTTGTTTAAAGTTGCAATCCATGGCAATAATTACAGTGCCATAGTACAGTACATATGGTTAAACTTCAACTCATCTGCTTGTTTTAGCTCATAAAAAGAGTTTGTCCCTAATAATTTGGAAAATAGGCTATTTCAGCACAGGTGTCCAATAAAAGAATTATGTTGAACAAACCGAAGTAACTTATGTTGACGAACGCATAAAAGAAAGTTATGTTTACCAAAACTACTTAATGTTTCATCATTTTAATAGCAAACAGGACTTCTAGGTCTAAGATAACACTAAGCCTGAGCTGCTTATCAGAACTCATTTATTTCATTTGCCTCATTTCTCCTACTTTTGTACATAGTATATCTTGTTTCCCTAAAGCCTGCCTGTAAGTTTCAATAGAATAGGTATTGCAAACAGGGACCTAGGGGTGTCCACCATTGTGGAGCTTTGACTGTAGCTAGTGGGTATAAACGTTCTTGTAATATAAAGATTTATGGAATGTTGCGCAGTAGGGCTGTGCGTGATCAGCAGTGAGAGCCCTGGCTGGAAGCTACCACTTCTGTAGTAGATTCAACAAAAGGAAAGATGTGGCCATTTCCATACAAAGCCTTATGTGGGAATGGAATATATAGCAGAGAATGAGTATATTTAAAATCAACATTAGAAATTCTGACACAGATTCTGTCAAAACCCCTTGGAAGATGCAAAGTTTTTTGTTATAGTGAATGAAATAATAATCCTGGAACATATTACTGATAATTTCAGCATCAATTTGTACTTATTTGCCCAGTGCCAGAGTTCATTTTATTTGATGAATTTTGACAATTTGTTATGTAAAATGCTCTGAAATCTGCAACTTTTCTCATCTTGCCTGGGGCATCTGAATTCAACAACAAGGAAAAAACAGAATCTGAGATGGACCACTTGTTGAAAAGGTACTATAAATCACCCCTTTTAGCCAGCCGGGAGTCAGAAGACAAAAATTATGTAAAGAAGTATTTAGGAAGGCTAATGAAAAAGTTTGTTTTATGTTAAAAAATTCTATTCAACTGTCCTGTGTGTACCTGCAGACACACTCCACATTATTTTTTAACTAATGTAAACTTCTTGAAACAGCTTAAGGGGAAACTAGAATAGCCAATGAACATGACACTTTGTAGAATTTATTTTCTTGCAGCAACTATCCTGCAGGAAAAAAAAATGGTGTCTGATCCCACAGACACTTAATTTCATTACACGTATCGAATAGCACATTCCAATTTTTACTGTGCCTGGCTTTAGGAAATATTTAAATTGAGCATTCAATGCATTGAACTATAGACAGAAACATTTCACTAACATTTTGGGAAATTAGATGGCTAATGTTTTTGTCTTTAAAACGAGACTCCTCTTTTATGCAATGTGCCAACCTTTTAAAGTAACTCAGTACAACCCCCAATTTTGTCTATGCATTTATCTTCCACCAGGGGGTGCTGGTTAACTTTTAAAAAAATACAAATAAGTAACTTGCAGATATTTTAAGTTGCAGGTCATAGCAGCAACCTGA